CTGAGCACCCTCACCTGTGACACCCACTCACCTGTGACACCCACTCACCTGTGACACCCACTCACCTGTGAGACCTCACCTGAGCACCCTCACCTGTGACACCCACTCACCTGTGACACCCTCTCACCTGTGAGACCTCACCTGTGACACCCACTCACCTGTGACACCCACTCACCTGTGACACCCTCTCACCTGTGAGACCTCACCTGAGCACCCTCACCTGTGACACCCACTCACCTGTGACACCCGCACCTGCACATCCTCACCTGTGGCAGCTGGCGGCAGAACACTCTCCAGAGCACCCTGACACGCAGGCAGGTGGCTCCAGCAGTCAGACCTGGGTGCCCGTAGAAGCCACCTGGGTCTCGGCATGAACAGATGCTGGCTCCAGCGAGCGCTCAAGAACAGGCTCATCTCAGGCCCCTCCTACCCGCCCCTCTCTTATTGGAAACTCACCTAGCCTCACCTCTTAGCAACTCCCCAGTTTCCCAAAGCAGAGAAACAATTGCAGCAACAAGCCCAGGATACCCACTGCCCCCTAAGTCCAGTGAGAAGCCAGCTCCGTGGGCCCCTCCTTCCTTGCTGCCAATCAGGGTCTGAGCCTTAGTGGCTCAGAGGTGAAGACCCCGCCTGCAGTGTAGGAGACCTGGGTGCGATCCCTGGGTTGGGAAGATCTCCCAGAGGAGGGCACGGTAACCCACTCCAGCATCCTTGCCTGGAGAATCACATGGACAGGGGAGCCTGGCGGGTTAAAGTCCATGGGGTCACAGAGCCAGACACAACTAAGGGACTAGCATTTTCACTTTCACTTCAGTGTCTCCAACTGAAAATGACCATCGAGCAGCCAAAGCCATTTTGATTGACAGATCAATAGAGAAGCTGCTTGGTACCAACTGTCCAGATTGTCCTAGGCTAAGGGGCTTCCCAGAACACGGGGCTCATTCCCAGGAATGTCCTGGCACACCAGGACTGTTGCCCACCCTATCAGCATCATCTCTGGGGCACATGGGAAGTCCTACCTCCGCTCACCTCTGCCTCCAAGAGTCCTTCCTGACAGATTCACAGCGGCCGTTCTGCCGTGAAGGAAATGCAGACCACCAGGGAAGCTCCCCCAGAGGACCACGAATCACCAGGGCCTGACATGGCTTTTGTTGGAGAGGAGTGCATCTCTCCTGTGTCATCCATGGCGGTCCGGTTGGTTATAGCTGCTTTGGGCATATCCGTTGAGAAGAAATGTCCATGCACTTGGCGTGGAAAGGAAGAAACAAGTCTAGAGCAGGAGTCTTCAAAGGCCACTGGGGGGATGTTTGACACTCTCTGGAGACGATGCTTCTGGTTTTCACAGGGAGACAGGGTGCCCATGGCATCTCCTGGGTGGAGGCCAGGTATGCTGCTTAGACCTGGATCCCAGCAGGGGAGATTCATCTGAACATCCTTCCCAGGCCTCCTCCACCCATCACTAGGCGGACAAACCAAACAGATGAGAGAGAGGAGGTGGTCATCATTCCTGAATTATGGTCAACTCTCATCCATATTTCCGTCTGAAAAATGTGTTCTGTGACATTAAAAGAAGGGACTTCCCTGGTGATCTGGTGGTTAAGACTCCACACTTGCATTACAGGGTGCACCGGTTCAATCCCAGGCTGATGAACTAAGATCCTGGATGCCACGTGGTGCAGCCAACAGAAGCAATGCAAATAAAGTATATAGAACCTTCAAAGGAGGCCCAGATTCTTTTTATTGAAATTTTTCACAGCTGGGATCACCAGTTGGTTTACACTTCTAATCAGTAATAAGCTCAAGTTTTTCTATTAGTTTCTCCCATTTTGCAAGCCACCTAAAAAGCATGCAAAGTCTGGCAGGACCATGTTGCCTACTGGGTAAACCCAGAAGACTGGTCCACACCCCGCGGGTCCCTGCTCGGCCACAGGGCCCTTCTCCTGGGTGACTGAGGAACGCGACCCCCAAGACAATGGAGTGAGCCTCGGGACTGGGCTGAAAGGAGCCCACTCCCCACAGTCCGCTGCTGTTCGGGGGAAAAGGCGTAGCTTAGCAATGATGCTCTAGAGACAAGACACCGCCTCTATCTCTCAGACACTTTCTCTACAGAAGAGGAATGTGTGTATGTGTGGGTGACAGCGTATGTGTGTGAGTGTGCATTTGTCTGTATGAGTGTATGTGCACGTGTGTCTATGTATGTTTGTTTACAAGTCTGTGTATGAATGCATATGTGTGTTCATGTGTGAGTGTCTGAGTATATATGTGAGTGTCTATGTCTCTGAGTGTGTGAGTATCAGTAGTGTCCAACTCTTTGTGACCCCACGGACCACGGGATTCTCCAGGCCAGAACACTGGGGTGGGTAGCCGTTCCCTCCTCCAGGGGATCTTCCCAACCCAGGGGTGGAACCCAGGTCTCCCGCAGTGCAGGTGGATTCTTTACCATCTGAGCCACCAGGGAAGCCCTTCTGAGTGTGTGTGTAAGTCTATATGTATGTGAATGTGTGTGTGTGAGTGTGTGTATATGTGTATGTTTGAGTACATGTATGTGTAAGAGTGTGCATGTATGTTCCTGAGTTTGTGAGTGTGTATGTGTTTCTGATTATGTCTGTACATGTATATGTGTGACCATCTATGTGAGTGTATATGTGTACATACATGAGTGCATGTGTGTGTGTGTGTGTGTGTGTGAGCATCTGGTGTGTGTGTGAGCATGTGACTGAGTGTGTGTGTGAGTGTGTGTTAGTGTGTGCCTGAGATTCTGTGTGTGAGAGCATGTGACTGTGTGTGTATGAGTGAGTGTGTGTGTGACAGAGCATGTGTGTGTGTGTGTGTGTGAGAGTGTGTGTGAGCATCTGGTGTGTGTGTGAGCATGTGACTGAGTGTGTGTGTGTGTGTGTTAGTGTGTGCCTGAGATTCTGTGTGTGACAGAGCATGTAACTGTGTGTGTGTATGAGTGAGTGTGTGTGTGACAGAGCATGTGTGTGTGTGAGTGTGTGTGTGTGAGATTGTGTGTGAGTGTGTGAGTGTGTGAGATTGTGTGTGTGAGTGTGTGTGTGAGATTGTTTGTGTGATTGTGTGTGAGTGTGAGTGTGTGTGTGAGTGTGTGAGTGTGTGTGTGAGATGATTGTGTGTGTGTGAGATTGTGTGTGAGTGTGTGTGAGTGTGTCTGTGTGAGATGATTGTGTGTGTGTGAGATTGTGTGTGTGTGTGAGTGTGTGTGAGTGTGTGTGAGATGATTGTGTGTGTGTGAGATTGTGTGAGTGTGTGTGTGTGAGATGATTGTGTGTGAGTGTGTGTGAGTGTGTCTGTGTGAGATGATTGTGTGTGTGTGAGATTGTGTGTGAGTGTGTGAGTGTGTGTGAGTGTGTGTGTGAGATGATTGTGTGTGTGTGTGTGTGAGAGTGTGTGTGAGCAACTGGTGTGTGTGTGAGCATGTGACTGAGTGTGTGTGTGAGTGTGTGTTAGTGTGTGCCTGAGATTCTATGTGTGACAGAGCATGTGACTGTGTGTGTGTATGAGTGAGTGTGTGTGTGACAGAGCATGTGTGTGTGTGAGTGTGTGTGTGTGTGAGATTGTGTGTGTGTGTGTGAGTGTGTGAGATTGTGTGTGTGTGTGTGAGAGTGTGTGATTGTGTGTGAGTGTGAGTGTGTGAGTGAGTGTGTGTGTGTGTGTGAGATGATTGTGTGTGTGTGTGTCTGTGAGATGATTGTGTGTGTGTGAGTGTGTGTGTGTGATGATTGTGTGTGTGTGAGACTGTGTGTGAGTGTGTGTGTGAGTGTGTGTGAGATTGTGTGTGTGATTGTGTGTGTGTGTGTATGTGTGTATGAGTGAGGGTGTGACAGCGTGTGTGAGTGTGTGTGTGTGAGAGATTGTGTGTGAGTGTGTGTGAGTGAGTGTGTGACAGCGTGTGTGTGTGAGTGTGTGTGAGATTGTGTGTGAGTGTGTGTGTGTGAGATTGTGTCTGTGAGTGTGTGTGTGTGAGTGTGTGAGATTGTGTGTGAGTGTGTGTGTGAGATTGTGTGATTGTGTGTGTGTGAGTGAGTGTGTGTGTGAGTGTGTGTGTGTGTGAGATGATTGTGTGTGTGAGATTGTGTGTGTGTGTGAGTGTGTCTGTGAGATGATTGTGTGTGTGTGAGTGTGTGTGTGTGATGATTGTGTGTGTGTGAGACTGTGTGTGTGAGTGTGTGTGTGTGTGAGATTGTGTGTGTGTGAGTGTGTGTGATTGTGTGTGTGTGTATGAGTGTGTATGAGTGAGGGTGTGACAGCGTGTGTGAGTGTGTGTGTGTGAGAGATTGTGTGTGTGTGTGTGAGTGTGTGACAGCGTGTGTGTGTGTGTGTGAGATTGTGTGTGTGTGTGTGAGTGTGTGTGAGTGTGTGTGTCTGTGAGTGTGTGTGTGAGATTGTGTCTGTGAGTGTGTGTGTGAGATTGTGTGTGTGCATGAGTGTGTGACAGCGTGTGTGTGTGTGTGTGTGTGATTGTCTGAGTGTGTGTGTGAGTGTGTGTGTGATTGTGTGTGTGTGTGCATGAGTGTGTATGAGTGAGTGTGTGACAGCGTGTGTGTGAGTGTGTGTGTCTGTGAGTGTGTGTGTGAGATTGTGTCTGTGAGTGTGTGTGTGAGATTGTGTGTGTGCATGAGTGTGTGACAGCGTGTGTGTGTGTGTGTGTGATTGTCTGAGTGTGTGTGTGAGTGTGTGTGTGAGTGTGTGTGTGTGTGCATGAGTGTGTATGAGTGAGTGTGTGACAGCGTGTGTGTGAGTGTGTGTGTCTGTGAGTGTGTGTGTGTGAGATTGTGTGAGTGTGTGTGTGTGATTCTGTGTGAGTGTGTGTGAGATTGTGTGTGTGTATGAATGAGTGTGTGTGTGACAGAGCATGTGTGTGTGTGTGTGTGAGTGTGTGTGTGAGTATGTGTGTGTGTGAGTGTGTGTGTGAGATTGTGTCTGTGAGTGTGTGTAGGGAGCTGCTGCCTCTGATCCCGGGGCCCAGGTCCGAGGCCCCTGCGCTAGCAGCGCCTGGGCCCGGGTGTGTCTACACGCCTCGCTCCCGGGTCGGCCGTGCGGTCTCGAATTCTTCCTTCAGAAGCTGCTCCCAGGAGCAGGCGCGCGTGACTGGTGACTGACCAGGCGGTGGAGCCGCCGGTGGGAGCCGACGCCGTGTCTCCCGTGCCGGCGTCTGCTTGGCGCTAACGGCGGAGGCTGCCCCCATGCCCCGGGCGGGAGGAGACAGAGCGCCCGGAGGGGTCCGCGGTCCGGGCGGGCGGCTCTCCGCGGCTCTGAAACCACGGCTTCTCCACGCTTGACCGGCTCCCCAGGCCTTGCTCGGCCAAAGCCTCAGACTGAAAAAGCCAGAACTGGCTCTGCGCTCTTCCCGCCCTCAGAGAGCCTGCAACAGCAAAGCTGCACGTTGATTAAAGGCCCCTCCCCATCCTTGTAAGTGCACTTGTGAGAATTATTTCTAAACGTGTTATGCAAAGGGTAGTGTTAGTCGCTCGGTCCTGTCGGACTCTGCAACCCCATGGACTATAGCCCACCCGAATCCTCTGTCCACGGGATTCTCCAGGCAAGAATGCTGGAGTGGCTTGCCATTTCTTTCTCCAGGCGATCTTCCCAACCCAGGGATCAAACCGAGGTCTCCTGCATCAAAGGCAGATTCTTTACTGTCTGAGCCCCTATGGAAATGTGTTATGCAAACTACAGGGTAATTTATTGGTGTCACTTATCAAACAAGCCAATTTGTTTGATAAGATGCATTCATCTTTCTCTCATTCATCAGTGGACAGATGAGTTCATTCATTCATTCATCATTAAAACACGGGTATGCAAGGGATTGTCTGTGGATTTTGGAGGCAGAAAGACCACAGTCAGAATCTTAGCTCCATCACTTTCCAGGTTAGTATTCTGATCCTGGGAGAGCTGTTTAAAACTCTGAGCCTCAGGATCATCACTTGTAAAGATTAGGACAAGAACGCCAACTTGATAGGTTTTTGGTAAAGGTTAAATAACCCACGGCACGCCAAGTACCCAGCACAAACCAGCCATTCGGGAAATCAGTGCTTTGTCCCAGAATTCCAAGGCAACGCATGTCAGTGGTTTGCATCAGATAAAGGGCCAGACCATTAATTGTGCATAATGTTGACATTTGATGTGTAATGTCTGCGTTCCTTTCTCACACACCTCTCTCCTAATCTCTGCTTCACTGCGTCCAACTTGCTGACCTTTTCCTCGGTCCCCAACCTCAGGGCTCTTTTCCAGTTTCCTACTGTGTCCCTGGCTGACTAGCCATTTCCAGGCGAACCACCTCCTCCTCTCTCCTCACCCTAAGGAAGCGCCAGCCAGGGCTAGACCACCCTTGCATCCTCAGCTCACCCAGCCTGCCAGGTCCGCAGTCACCCTGGGCAGCAGGGTGCACGTGTCCCAGCTGGACCAGGCAGTGTGGCATCCGTGGGGACTTCTCACCCTGCGGAACTTGAGAAGGAACTGAAAAGATCATTTCTTTCCAACTTCCTCATTTTCAGGTAAGAATGGGGTCCAGAAAAGTTGGGGTTCCACAGTTAGTTAAATGGCTGGATTTCCCTGAACAGTCTCCACACCTCAGAAAGTTAAGTTTTTGTAGAAAAAATATCACCTATTCCATGACAGCCACTTCAGGGTGTCCTGGCAATGGGCAATAGGCCCCAGATTATCGCTAAGCCACATTTTGCATCTTGACAGTGGACATTGTTTGGGAGCCAAGAGCAACGTCAGGAATTAGAGTCCATTTAGCGCATGCCTGGCAGGAAGGCGCGAAGTGACACGCCACCCTGCACACCCCCTGGGAATGCCTGAAGTGTGTCTGCAGCTGACAGTGTTCATACTCAGGGACTGAATGAAGACGCTTCTAAGACTCTGCCTCACATCCTTGCTGTGTCAAGTGTACAGCAAAGTGATCCCCCCACACACACACACATACATACATACATACATATATGTATATGATCACAGCAAAGTGATCCACACACACACACACACACACACATATATATGATCACAGCAAAGTGATCCACACACACACATACGTACATACATACATATATATATGATCATAGCAAAGTGATCACCACACACACACATACACACATACATACATACATATATATATATGATCACAGCAAAGTGATCCACACACACACACACACACACATATATATATGATCACAGCAAAGTGATCCACACACACACATACGTACATACATACATATATATATGATCATAGCAAAGTGATCACCACACACACACATACATACATACATACATACATATATATATATGATCACAGCAAAGTGATCCACACACACACACACACACATATATATATGATCATAGCAAAGTGATCCCCCCCCACACACACATACATACATACATACATATATATATATGATCACAGCAAAGTGATCCACACACACACATACGTACATACATACATATATATATGATCATAGCAAAGTGATCCCCCCCACACACACATACATACATACATACATACATATATATGATCACAGCAAAGTGATCCACACACACACACACACACACACATATATATATGATCACAGCAAAGTGATCCACACACACACATACGTACATACATACATATATATATGATCATAGCAAAGTGATCACCACACACACACATACATACATACATACATACATACATATATATATATATGATCACAGCAAAGTGATCCACACACACACACACACACACACATATATATATGATCATAGCAAAGTGATCCCCACATACACACACACATACATACATACATATATATATATATGATCACAGCAAAGTGACCCCCACACACACACACACATACATACATACATATATATATATGATCACAGCAAAGTGATCCCCCCCTACACACACACATACACACATACATACATACATATATATATATGATCACAGCAAAGTGATCCACACACACACACACACACACACATATATATATGATCACAGCAAAGTGATCCACACACACACATACGTACATACATACATATATATATGATCATAGCAAAGTGATCACCACACACACACATACATACATACATACATACATATATATATATGATCACAGCAAAGTGATCCACACACACACACACACATATATATATGATCACAGCAAAGTGATCCACACACACACATACGTACATACATACATATATATATGATCATAGCAAAGTGATCACCACACACACACATACATACATACATATATATATATATGATCACAGCAAAGTGATCCACACACACACACACACACATATATATATATGATCATAGCAAAGTGATCCCCACATACACACACACATACATACATACATATATATATATATGATCACAGCAAAGTGACCCCACACACACACACACACATACATACATACATATATATATATATATGATCACAGCAAAGTGATCCCCCCCACACACACATACATACATATATATATATGATCACAGCAAAGTGATACACACACACACACACACATATATATGATCATAGCAAAGTGATCCACACACGCACGTACATACGTACATATATATATATATGATCACAGCAAAGTGACCCCCCACACACACACATACATACATACATACATATATATATATGATCACAGCAAAGTGATCCACACACACACACACACACACATATATATGATCATAGCAAAGTGATCCACACATGCACACATACATACATACACATATATATATGATCACAGCAAAGTGATACACACACACACACACACACATATATATGATCATAGCAAAGTGATACACACACACACGTACATAGATACATATATATATATGATCACAGCAAAGTGATCCACACACACACATACGTACATACATACATATATATATGATCATAGCAAAGTGATCACCACATACACACATACATACATACATATATATATGATCACAACAAAGTGATCCACACACACACACGTACATACATAAATATATATATATATGATCACAGCAAAGTGATCCACACACACACACACATATATATATGATCATAGCAAAGTGATCCCCACATACACACACACACATACATACATATATATATATGATCACAGCAAAGTGATACACACACACACACACATACATACATATATATATGATCATAGCAAAGTGATCCCCACATACACACACACACACGTACATATATATATATGATCACAGCAAAGTGATCCACACACACACATACATACATACATATATATATGATCATAGCAAAGTGATCCCCACATACACACACACACATGTACATACATACATACATATATATATATGATCACAGCAAAGTGATCCACACACACACACACACACATATATATGATCATAGCAAAGTGATACACACACACACGTACATACATACATACATATATATATGATCACAGCAAAGTGACCCCCCCCACACACACATACATACATACATACATATATATATATGATCACAGCAAAGTGATCCACACACACACACACACACATATATATATGATCAGAGCAAAGTGATCCACACACGCACACATACATACATACACACATATATATGATCACAGCAAAGTGATCCCCACATACACACATACATACATACATATATGTATATATGATCACAGCAAAGTGATCCACACACACACACACACACACATATATATGATCATAGCAAAGTGATACACACACACACGTACATACATACATATATATATATGATCACAGCAAAGTGACCCCCCCCACATACACATACATACATACACATATATATATGATCATAGCAAAGTGATCACCACACACACACATACATACATACACACATATATATGATCACAGCAAAGTGATCCCCACACACACACATACGTACATACATACATATATATATGATCATAGCAAAGTGATCCCCACACACACACATACATACATACATATATATATGATCACAACAAAGTGATCCACACACACACACGTACATACATAAATATATATATATATGATCACAGCAAAGTGATCCACACACACACACACACACACATATATATGATCATAGCAAAGTGATCCCCACATACACACACACATACATACATATATATATATGATCACAGCAAAGTGATCCACACACACACATACATACATACATATATATATGATCATAGCAAAGTGATCCCCACATACACACACACACACGTACATATATATATGTGATCACAGCAAAGTGATCCACACACACACATACATACATCCATATATATATATGATCATAGCAAAGTGATCACCACACACACACATACATACATCCATATATATATGATCATAGCAAAGTGATCCCCACATACACACACATACATATATATATATGTATATGATCACAGCAAAGTGATCCACACACACACACACATACATACATACATATATATATGATCACAGCAAAGTGATCCCCACACACACACACACATACATACATATATATATATATATATGATCATAGCAAAGTGATCCACAAACACACACACACACACACACATATATATGATCATAGCAAAGTGATACACACACACACACATACATATATATATGATCACAGCAAAGTGATCCACAGAAACACATGCACACAGACATATATATACATACATATATATGATCATAGCAAAGTGATCCCCACATACACACATACATACATACATATATGTATATATGATCATAGCAAAGTGATCCACACACACACACACATACATATATATATGATCACAGCAAAGTGATCCACAGAAACACACGCACACACACACATATATACAAACATATATATGTGATTCACGTATAGATACGGTGATTCCCTGGTGGGTCAGACGGTAAAGCGTCTGCCCACAGTGCAGGAGACTTGGGTTTGGTCCCTGGGTTGGGAAGATCCCCTGGAGAAGAAAATGGCAAACCACTCCAGTGTTCTTGCCTGGAGAATCCCATGGATGGAGGATCCTAGTAAGCTACAGCCCATGGGGTCACAAAGAGTCAGACCCAACTGAGCGACTTCACTTTCATGGATAAATACACACATGTGTATATTCTTTTAGGACTTCCCCGGTGGCTCAGGCGGTGAAGCGTCTGCCTACAATGCGGGAGACCCAGGTTCAATCCCTGGGTCGGGAAGATCCTCTGCAGAAGGAAATGGAAGCCCACTCTAGTACACCTGCCTGGAAAATCCCATGGACGGAGGAGCCTGGTAGGCTACAGTCCATGGGGTTACAGAGAATTGGACATGACTGAGCAACTTCACTTTCATATATTCTTTTTCAGATTGTTTTCCACTTTGGGCAATTGCAAGATACTGAGTACAGTTCCCTGCGCTACAATAGGCCCATGTGGGTTACCTGTTTTATGTATAGCAATGTGCATACGGTAATCCCAAACTCTTAATTTATCTCCCCGCACCACACCCCCATTACCCTCTTTGATAACCATGTATTTGTTTTCTATGTCTGTGAATCTATTTATAAGTAAGCTCATTTGTAATGAATTGTTAATATTAATCGCATCTGAAAAGTACCTTCACAGCAACATCTATCTACATCTATCTATCTATATACATATGTATGTGGTACCCAATTGTTGTTGACCAACCAACTGGGTGCCACAGTTTGGCCAAGTTGACACGGGAGACAATGACCCACCCAGACCCTTTCTTTCTTTCCCCAGAGATCAGCCCTTTAAATGGCCAACCTCATCCTCTCAGGGACAGACACTGGTCCTGTTTGAACCAAAAGGTCTAAGTTTGTAAGAAAGCACTGGACTTTCTTTCATCCTTGACATTTACCTGCTCTTTGCTCTCTGTTAGACCCCGTGATAAGTGTTCCAGGTGGACGGTCTTGTGAAGTTCTCTCATCAGCTCTGTGATCTGGGTGCTTTCACTGGCACCCACCTTAGAGACAGGACAACGGGGACATAAGCGATATTAAGATCCTTTCTGTCGAAGACACATGATGACAAGAAATTGTCAACCTGCTTCCAGAAACACAAAACCTTTTCATGCATTTTTACAGAGGAATGAGAGGCAGAAACTACTTCAGAAAAAGTTTCAAAGTCTTCTTCAGCCCCAGATCATTATTTAAAGCTCTAACATTCCAGAACCTGTGAGTGACACCAGAGGGACCTGATCCAGGCCTTGCTTTATTCACCTCCCTGTATTTGCAGCAATAGTCCTATTTTAAATTATTTATTATTTTGTGTTCCCAATTAAGCTGTAATGTGACAAGCGAGCTATTTTACAAGGCAATAAAAAAAATAATCATGCTCCCCAGTGAGTACACTACAAGGCCAAAAGGTGAGTTGTTTATATCAGCAAGAGGACCGAATTACTGCCTTGAAAAATAGTGGGTCTGTCCTGTTATTGCTCTACAAGTAAAAACAGCACAGAAAAGAGCAAGATAAACTGGTTACCAGCCTTCTTGAAAGCACCTATTTTTGGAATAATGACAAAACTGTCTGTGTTTGCAGAAGGAGCAAAAGTGATTGATAGATGGTGTGGAAGGAACCCAGTCCTACTCCCAATCAGGGCCTCAGGGATAGGGGGAGGTGTTGAAAGGCAGAGCAGAAAAACGCTTTGAGTCTGTGAAGGGCAGAAAAACGTAACAGTCGGTTAACTTGACTTGAGGGTCCCATCTTCTCCGGGTGATGAATAAAATACATCTCAAATTCAAATTAGCCCATCGATGGAAAACTCAGATAATCTGATGAGCCCTGCCCTGTCATTACAGCGGTTTCTGGGAAGCCAGGGAGAATACATATGGTCACCAGACGGGAGCTGGTCTTCCAAACAAAAACAAAACACACCCTGGAGGGAAACCAGAAGAATCTACTTGCTGAGAGGCTCCACACCTTTCAGCTGGAAGTAGCTGGTGACAAGTGGGTCCAGGGGTGAGAGGGGAAGGTTGGTGGGGGGATGTTACAGGGTGTTTCCCCCACCCCGGGGGTGGCATGGAGCCCTGTGTGTGCTGTGGGTTTGTGTGTCTGCGGAGCTTGCAGGCAGGAAGGAGGGAGAGAGGAAGCCAATGGGGTTTCCATGGATTGAGGTGCATTCGTAACAGAAGAAAGCGGCCTCCTCCTGAACCTCAGGCGTGCTCTCCATGAGCATAGGCTGCCCCCTGCCTCCTCCACCTTACATCACTCGCTCTGCATCCCTGCTGCCAGGGGCAGGGCCGGCCGGCCACAGAAGACCCTTCGTGACATGTGTCACGTGCCAGCATGAGCAAGTGCCTGCTTCCACCTAGGAGACCTGCACTTTCAGCCTCAAAGGAGATGAATCCGAGCTCCCTAGTTTATGAAAGAACTCGGCCTCTTGAAAAGCGATCCCCAAAGAGTTTCTCCTAGGAGGGACATGAAGGAGGGAAGGATTGAGAGTTTGAAATTAGCAGATGCGAACTATTATACATAGAATGGATAAACCATAAGGTCCTACTGCATAGCACAGGAAACTATATCCAATATCCTATGATAAACCATAATGGAAAAGATTATGAAGAAGAATGAATGTATGACTGAGTCATCTTGCCTCACAGCAGAAATGAAACTCAACATTATAAATCAACTATGCTTCAATAACATTTTATTCTTAAAAAAGAGCTTTCCCTAATACATATAAGAGAAACATACTGACGTGTCCTCCTAGCTTTCTGCTGCAAACTTTTCATGGGTGTCCTATTTAATTTCTTCTCAAGTAGCCTCATCTTTTGTTCCTTCCTTCGCTGATTTCTGTGGTGGTGTTCGGTCACTCAGTCACGTCCATCTCTTTGCTACCCCATGAACTGCAGCACGTCAGCCTTCCTTGTCCTTCACTGTCTCCCGTAGTTTGCTAAGACTTGTGTCCGTTGAGTCGGCAATGCCATCCAACCATCTTATCCTCTGTCGTCCCCTTCTCCTCCCGCCTTCAATCTTTCCCAGCATTAAGGTCTTTTCCAATGAGTTGGCTCTTCCCATCAGATTGGCCAAAGTATTGGAGCTTCAACTTTAGCATCAGTCCTTCCAATGAATATTTAGGGTTGATTTCCTTTAGGATGGACTGGTGTGATCTCCTTGAAGTCCAAGGAACTCTCAAGAGTTTTGTCCCTGCTTTTAGGCTTTCTTGTTTCAAAAGCTAGCTCACATTATTATTTAACTCTCAGTTCGTGCATCCCCAACTACAGTATGCTCTCCCTCTGACCAGTGATGTGTGTAGACACCATCACCGCCCGATCCTGGCATGTATCAGGGCTCCAGGACACAGGGTTAGGTCATGAGGAAGGATTACTGGCTAAGAAAGCTGATGGGCACATGGGCTCTGTCTGTTTGCAAGAGAAAGTGGTGTACCCAGGATACCTTGGGTGGTGAGAGGTGTGACTGAACACATACACTGCTGTGGTATTGTTCAGCCCAGGCTGCTGTAACTAGATAACACACATAGATAATCTGACAGTTGAAACCACAGACCTTTATTTCTCACACTTCTGGAGGCTGAAAGTCCAAGATGAAGGTCCCAGAAGATTCAGTGTCTGGTGAATTCACTCCCTGGCTTGTAGATTCCCCTCTTCCTGATATGCCCCCCCGTGTCAGAGAGAAAGATGCTGTGTCTCTTCTTTTTGTGAGGCCACTAATCCCAACACAGGGCCCCACACTCATGAACCTATTCCACCCTAACTACCTCCCAAAGGCCCCACCTCCCAGCATTGCAGAGAGGATTAGGGCTTCAGCACATGAATTCTGGAGGGGCATGAACTTGCCTTTCAGAGTGGATCAACGGTCCCCCGGGATGGCCTCCGTCAATTCTTTACCTCTCTCTGAGCACACATAGCCCCTCTCGTCCTTAGGTGGGACCTCTTTCCTCTCTCCTTGTATTTCCGTTGGCCCTGTCTCTTGCTTTGAGCAATGACACATGGGAGGAGCAATGTTATGCCTCTTCCAACCCTTGAGCCTTCTTTGTCCTCCTCCTTAGAAGCCCATCACCTCACGAGAGTTCTGACCACCTCCAAGCCAACGTGGTGAGAAGGCCTGACCTGACCACACGGAGCAAGAGGGCAAGCTGGCAGTGGGGCAGACTTGTGAACAAGTCCGCCTGGCCCAACCAGCTCACTCCAGTGTAGACACAGGGATGATGAGCCCAGCCAGCCTCACGGGGAGCAGGACCTCTGAGTTCCTTAATCCCAAGAAGTCATGGTGCTCTAAACCACTAAAAGCTCTGACATAGATTCATATAAAACAGGAGATCATTCCAACACAAAAAAAGGTTTAAAAATGTTTTGGAAGAAAAGTGATCCCCCAGCCACCAGTATGGGTCCCCCTGGTGGCTCAGATGGTAAAGAGACCTGAGTTCAAACCCTGGGTCAGGAAGATGCCCTGAAGAAGGGAATGGCTACCCACTCCGGTATTCTTGCCTGGAGAAATTCCATAGACAGAGGAGCCTGGTGGGCCACCGTCCTTGGGGTGGTCAAAAGGACACAACTGAGCAGCTAAGACACAAAGTTTCCTCAAGAGATAACCTAAAGTAAAAAAGAAAGAGAGAGGGAAACTGAACACTGATTTTAGGTCATTAATCTACTGCAGGTCCTGCCCTTTCCAGTAGGTACACTCTGGTCAAGAAGTCAACTGTTGGTATTAAAAACTGAATATTCATGCAGAAACTGCTACTGATTCATCACGAGCACCCCATGTCCCCATCATTTCATGGAAGGTCTAAGGAACCAGAGAGACTGGGGATTTCACAGACTTCCCCGGGGAATAAAAGAAATTCACTTCCACCCCCCGGAAAATGTGGCTTTTCCCAGATGGAACTTATTGTGGAAAGCTACATAAAAGTAAAAAAAAAAAAAAAAAAAAACTTGGGGTGAAGTCAATTTAATGTTTACCAAATGCATTTATTAAGCAGACTTTTTCTTATTGAAAATTTCCATCGTGGGCCTGGAAAAAGATCAAGGGAAGTCCTCATTAAATAAGCCTATTTTATGCAAACTTCCATGTCCATCAGCCAAAAACAGTTACAAAGCATTCAGAGAGGGGGGAGCAGACCGCACCCTGGACAAAACCGTGAACTTGGTGAACCCCACCTCTGGCACCACCAATTTCCCTTCTCGGCCCGCTTCTCCCCTCCCCAGGGGAGTTCACTATCTCATTCAGGATGGGGTCATCCCACCCACCACAACTCCATCTGACCCAGAGGGCAGAGCATACACCTACCACAGAGCGTGAGTGCAAGCGGAGGGTGTTTTTTTTTTTTTCTTCTGATTATGGAATAAGAGGTTTTCTTCCAATTAAAGGGAAAGCTTTCCCAACATCACATCAAGCAGAAGAATGCCAACAGTTCCCGTATGGACCCCAGTCTGAGGGCAGAGACTTTCACATTCCCGGCACATGATAAAGCAGTGGCTCCCAAACCACGAACTGGGAACCCTGTGGAGCGTCAGAGCTTCCATCTATTTTCTTAAAGGACCGAAGAAAATCCCTCCTGTTGTGAAAAAGGGAGAAGGGGGACTTTGTATTTTACATTAAAAGAGAAGTTAGACTTGAAAAGTTGTGAAGCAGTGCAATTTTGTAAAAAAAAAAAAAAAAACAAAGAATAGGTGGGCTTCCCTGGTGGCTTAGTAGTAAAGAACCCACCTGCAATGCAGGAGGCACAGGTTCAATCCCTGGTGCAGAAAGAGCCCGCAGGCCACGGAACAACTGGAGCCCGTGCGCCGCGCTATTGAACCCGCGCTTGAGGGCCTGGGAGTCACAGCTACTGAAGACACGTGTCCTCGAGCTCTCGCCCCACAGTGAGAGAAGCCGGCAGTGAGAAGCCCGTGCATCACAGCTAGAGAACGGCCCACACAGCAGCAAAGACCTAGGACAGCCACAAATAGAATAGATACAATCGTTTCTGAAATATTAAAAAAAGAACAGCTTCCCCCACCAAAA